CCAGTGATCATGCGACTCTAGCAACAGTGACTTCTGCGGCTACTCCAAATGCACTGTCAAAGGCAGTTGTGAAAGTATTCATCAAAGGAACAGAAGTGGATGGTCTTATTGATGAGAGAGAGAGAGAGAGAGATAGTGGCAGCTCAGAGAGTTTCATCAACCTTGACTTAGTTAAACGCCACTCCTTGACTGTACATCACTCATCAGGTACCGTTTCCATGGCATCAACTAAAAGGCTTAGCATCCTTGGTTATGTAGTGGAAGGAGGCTCAATATTCCCAGACCCTGAACGACTACGACCTCTACGGGAACTTCCAATACCTCAAGACAAAAAGTCACTCCAAAGAACTCTTGGTCTCTTTGCTTATTACTCACAATGGATCTACAACTATTCAAGTAAAGTCCGCCCACTGAGTGCTACCACATTTCCTGTGACAAAGGAAGCAGAAGCCGCTTTACATACTCTCAAACAGGACATTGACAACTCAGTAGTTCAAGCCATTGATGAGTCCCTACCATTCGAAGTGGAAACGGATGCATCTGACATTGCCATTGCTGCAGTCTTATCTCAGGCAGGACGACCAGTATCAGAGAAATGTTACGCTGCTGTAGAAAAGGAAGCCCAGGCCATCATAGAAGCAGTTCGCCACTGGAGGCATTATTTAACTGGTATACATTTCACCATAAGGACTGACCAACGGTCCGTGATGTATATGTTCGACAAGAAGCACAAAAGTAGGATAAAGAATGACAAGATATTACGCTGGAGGATGGAACTATCGTGTTATGACTTTGATATTCTGTACCGACCGGGTCAAGAGAACATCTCACCTGATGCATTCTCTAGGTCCCACTGTGGAGCAGCATGTCATGATTTGCAATCACTCTCAGCACTCCACAAGGCTTTGTGTCACCCAGGAGTTACACGCCTGTACCATTTTGTCAAATCAAAGAACATGCCCTACTCAGTGGAAGATATGCGACAAGTGATCAGAGCATGCAGAGTATGTGCAGAGTGCAAGCCAAACTTTCATCAGCCAGAGAAGACTCATCTCATAAAATCCACCCAGCCTTTCGAGAGACTGAATATAGATTTCAAAGGACCTCTACCAAGCACAAATCAGAATAGGTATTTCCTTAACATAGTGGATGAATATTCAAGGTTTCCCTTTGTGTTCCCCTGTGCAAATATGACTGCTTCAACTGTTATTAGTTGTCTTTCACAGTTGTTCTCTATTTTTGGTATGCCAGCTTATATCCATTCAGACAAGGGATCCTCGTTCATGAGTAACGAACTTCAGGAGTTTTTGGCTAACAAAGGTATTGCCTGCAGCAGAACAACAAGCTACAACCCTCAAGGCAATGGTCAAGTGGAGCAGTTCAATGGTACTATATGGAAGGCAGTTACAATGACATTGAAGTCGCGCAATCTACCTGTTCAACACTGGGAAACTGTCCTACCTGATGCTCTTCACTCTATTAGATCATTGCTGTGCACAGCTACTAATGCAACCCCTCATGAAAGACTCCTCAACTATTCACGTCGTTCCTCTACAGGAGCCTCTGTGCCCACTTGGTTATGTCATCCTGGACCCGTTCTCCTGAAGAGTCACCGTAGGATGAACAAGACGGATCCTTTAGTGGAAGAGGTAGAGCTCCTGCAAGCTAATCCACATTACGCCCACATTCGCTACCAAAATGGTGAAGAGACTACAGTATCTACAAGACATTTAGCCCCAGTTGAAATCCCCATTAGTGTGGAATCTCAAGATACACCAATAGATGTGAAAGATGCTTCGTTTTCTACTGGAAAGCCCCTTGAGACTACCCCTACGGAAATAGAGGATTCTGCTCCAGCAGTTAGTCAAACCCCGCTGGAAAATATTGAACCTGGTGAAGAGGCTCAAGGGCTATGAAGGTCGGGACGTGTACGTCGCCCACCTAACAGTTTGGGAGATTACTGTCTCTGATATTTTAGAAGGGGGAGATTGTAGTGATACTGCTCCTGTGGGGAGCAGCAGCAGGATAATACTGCACCACCTCTCGGGGCCCTTAACAACAACAACAGTTTGGTGTGCGTTATGGGCGCCAACACATGATGTGTGATTCTCTTCTCATATATCCATATATTAGTGATGCAGATTACATGGTGAGTTTAAATATGTGGCCTGTAGTTATAACTTTTCTCTTGTAAAGTAAAAGGACACAAGTGCAACTAATGTGACATTTATTGTGGCAACGTTTCGCTCTCCAGGAGCTTTATCAAGCCATTACAAACAATACATGGACACAGATAAGATAAGATAAGATAAGATTTCGTTCGGATTTTTAACCCCAGAGGGTTAGCCACCCAGGATAACCCAAGAAAGTCAGTGCGTCATCGAGGACTGTCTAACTTATTTCCATTGGGGTCCTTAATCTTGTCCCCCAGGATGCGACCCACACCAGTCGACTAACACCCAGGTACCTATTTGCTGCTAGGTGAACAGGACAACAGGTGTAAGGAAACGTGTCGAAATGTTTCCACCCGCCGGGAATCGAACCCGGGCCCTCCGTGTGTGAAGCGGGAGCTTTAGCCACCAGGCCACCGGGCCACCTGAGGGTATATAAAGGCTCAGAGTGAGGTGAATACTAGTGAGGTACCATTTCGATGTTCACTAGTGGTAGTAGTAGTAGTAGTAGTAGTGGTAGTGACAAAAGTAATACAATATGGTAGAGCAATTAATTCGTACACGAGTAAAAGGATATAAAAGCTATTACGAATTAATTGCTCTACCATATTGTATTACTTTTGTCACTACCACTACTACTACTACTACTACTACTACTACTACTACTACTACTACTACTACCACTAGTGAACATCGAAATGATACCTCACTAGTATTGCACCTCACTCTGAGCCTTTATATACCCTCTGTGTCCATGTATTGTTTGTAATGGCTTGATAAAGCTCCTGGAGAGCGAAACGTTGCCACAATAAATGTCACATTAGTTGCACTTGTGTCCTTTTACTTTACATATTGTCGGTAATTCTACCAACTTTATTACAACTTTTCTCTTGACATATGCAAGACATCACCATCCCTGTAGAAGCCGTTATTAGATGTACTAGTCATTATATTTTGTTGTTGCAGAAGTACTATGAAGATTCTATGTTCAATAAAGCCTAGAGATAAGGCCTGTGTTTCTATCACAACAGACAGACAGGAGCGACCTGTTCTAAACCCATGTTGCCCTGGGTTGTGTAATTGATGGGTATCTAGATGGGTGGTGATCTTGCTTCTTAGGACCCTTTCAAAGATTTTTATGATATGGGATGTTAGCGCTATCTGTAGTTCTTTGCTGTTGCTTTACTGCCCCCTTTGTGGAGTGGAGCTATGTCTGTTGTTTTTAGTAACTGTGGGACGACCCCCGTGTCCATGCTCCCTCTCCATAGGATGTTAAAAGCACGTGAAAGGAGCTTCTTGCAGTTCTTGATGAACACAGAGTTCCATGAGTCGGTGCCTGGGGTAGAGTGTATGGTCATGTCATTTATCGCCTTTTCGAAGTCATTTGACGTCAGGATAATTTCAGATAGGCTCGAGTCTACCAAATTCTGATTATAATAATAATAATTGGAAACTTTAAGTTTCTATTCAGGGCCAGATTTAGAGATGGGGTCCCAGGGCCTGGGCCCAGGCCCCCCACCAGAAGAGGCCCTCCCTTCCGAATGATGAAAAATATTATGACACATTATACTGGAAATTGAATAGATCACAAAAAGAGAAAATGTATGCAAGAGTTTGAATTGTGGTGGGATTGTCATGCTGAGTCATCTGATCGCTGGTGTTACATCATAGGTGCGAGCGCGTCGTCAGCTGCATGACACGAGGATGACTCACAGCACATCATCATCCTGGGTGTGCAGGGCGCTGCAGTATGAATGATCGTGGTTGGTCAGTATGTGAAACAGTGTGGTAGTGAGACCCGGTTACGAACGAGCACGAAGGCTTGTGAACCTGACAGTCATGAGCATAGGTTCTGACATCCTGTGCTCGTTGGATTTTGATGGAGTCATCACAGACTTTTCCATCAGAAAAGCACGGAATGTACCTGGCTTATAATATTTTATCTGTTTAAAAACAACTCTTTATAACTTTGTAGATTACTTATGAGTTCCACTTGAAAATGAACTGAAAGGCTGCTAAAATACACTATAAATCCAATTTATTGTTTCATTTCTTCATCTTAAGAAGATGGTACGTATATTGAGAGTGGTGGAAGTTTTCCAAGGAGAAACTTAAAAGTCTTCTAACCATTAGACCTTTTTAATGCAAGAGGGGGCCCCCACCAAAATGGGTCCTGGCCCCACACCAAACTGGGCCCCAGGCCCCCACCAAACTGGACCCCAGGCTCCACACCAAAATGAGTCCTGGCCTCCACCACACTGGGCCCCGGGCCCCCACCAAAATGAGTCCCTGCTCCACACCAAACTGGGCTCCAGGCCCCCACCAAACTGGGCCCCAGGCCCCCACCAAACTGGGCCCCGGCCCCACCAAACTGGGCCTCGGTTCCCACCAAACTGAGCCCCTGGCCCCTCACCAAACTGGGCCCCCACCAAACTGGGCCCTGGGCCTCCACCAAACTGGGCCCTGGCCCCCACCAAACTGGGCCCTGGGCCCCACCAAACTGGGCCCCAGCCTACACCAAACTGGCCCCGGGCCCCCACCAAACTGGGCCCTGGGCCCACCAAACTGGCCCCGGGCCCCACCAGACTGGCCCCAGGCCCCACCAAACTGGGCCCCGGCCTCCACCAAACTGGCCCCGGGCCCACACCAAACTGGGCCCAGGCCCCCACCACCTATATCCAGCACTGTAAATCCTGTCTATTTACAAAGGAACTTTTGTTCCTTTACTTTCATAATTCAGCTACGGACATTATTATTATTATAATCAAAAAGAAGCGCTAAACTACAAGGGCTACACAGCGCTGCCAGTTTCGGACAACAAATCTTCCCGGAACATCGGGAAGTCGGGTTCGTTACGACTTACTCTGTCAGTGGCCTTTATAAACCAAACAAAGAAGAGAAGAAGGAAGCCAGGGCTTACCTGGCTTGGCTTTATAGGTAAACTGGCTTCTTATATCTCCTATATTATTCTTGAAGAAGTGACTATAACCTGGGGAGAATATATTACTGATTATATCATTATATATGTGTATATTTCTTGTATATGGTCGAGTCGAAAATTATTTTTGACTTTTTTTTTTATTTTGTAATGGATGATTATCTCTCGTAAATTATTAATAATTCCTTGATGCTGGTGAGGGGCTCTTGATCTAGGGAGTTGGATCTGTGGTCCAGTTCCTTGAATTAAACCTGAATACATTTCATACCCCCCACATAGGTGCTGTATAATCCCTACGGGTTTAGCGCTCCCACATGATTTTAATAATTATAATGTAGATCAATAAAGTTTTATATATTGTACATTATATTTTATATATTTCATATACAGTGGGTGACCCGGTGGCCGGGCTGGTAAAGCTCCCGCTTCACACACGGAGGGCCCGGGTTCGATTCCCGGCGGGTGGAAACATTTCAACACGTTTCCTTACACCTGTTGTCCTGTTCACCTAGCAGCAAATAGGTACCCAGGTGTTAGTCGACTGGTGTGGATCGCATCCTGGGGGACAAGATTGAGGACCCCAATGGAAATAAGTTAGACAGTCCTCGATGACGCACTGACTTTCTTGGGTTATCCTGGGTGACTAACCCCCCGGGGTTAAAAATCCAAAGAAAATCTTATCTTAATGGAACCACGGTTGTCGAATTTAATTTATTCCAAGTTTGTGGAGTAGGATGCATCTCCTGTCGAGTCTTTTGCTTTCATATGGAGTGATTTTCGTGTGCAGGTTTGGTGCCAATCCCTGTCAGAGGAGAGGTAATGTTGTTTCTCTTTTTTGTCTCTTTTCACCACTAACACCAATGGAAATAAGTCACTCTGTCTGACTTTTTTGTGTTATCCCAGGTTCTCTACACATATGCTGCTATGTATGATAATTCTATGTAACTGTATTTGTGTATACCTGAATAAACTTACTTACTTACTTAACACTTTGTTCTGGCTCACTGGTTCTTTGTCTCTTCTCACTACTAACACCTTGTTCTGGCTCACTGGTTCTTTGTCTCTTCTCACTACTAACAACTTGTTCTGGCTCACTGGTTCTTTGTCTCTTCTCACTACTAACACCTTGTTCTGGCTCACTGGTTCTTTGTCTCTTCTCACTACTAACAACTTGTTCTGGCTCACTGGTTCTTTGTCTCTTCTCACTACTAACACCTTGTTCTGGCTCACTGGTTCTTTGTCTCTTCTCACTACTAACACCTTGTTCTGGCTCACTGGTTCTTTGTCTCTTCTCACTACTAACACCTTGTTCTGGCTCACTGGTTCTTTGTCTCTTCTCACCACTAACACTTTGTTCTGGCTCACTGGTTCTTTGTCTCTTCTCACCACTAACAACTTGTTCTGGCTCACTGGTTCTTTGTCTCTTCTCACCACTAACACTTTGTTCTGGCTCACTGGTTCTTTGTCACTTTTCACCACTAACAACTTGTTCTGGCTCACTGGTTCTTTGTCACTTTTCACCACTAACAACTTGTTCTGGCTCACTGGTTCTTTGTCACTTTTCACCACTAACAACTTGTTCTGGCTCACTGGTTCTTTGTCACTTTTCACCACTAACAACTTGTTCTGGCTCACTGGTTCTTTGTCTCTTTTCACCACTAACAACTTGTTCTGGCTCACTGGTTCTTTGTCTCTTCTCACCACTAACACTTTGTTCTGGCTCACTGGTTCTTTGTCACTTTTCACCACTAACAACTTGTTCTGGCTCACTGGTTCTTTGTCACTTTTCACCACTAACAACTTGTTCTGGCTCACTGGTTCTTTGTCTCTTTTCACCACTAACAACTTGTTCTGGCTCACTGGTTCTTTGTCTCTTTTCACCACTAACACTTTGTTCTGGCTCACTGGTTCTTTGTCTCTTTTCACCACTAACACTTTGTTCTGGCTCACTGGTTCTTTGTCTCTTTTCACCACTAACAACTTGTTCTGGCTCACTGGTTCTTTGTCTCTTTTCACTACTAACAACTTGTTCTGGCTTACTGGCTCTTTGTCTCTTTTCACCACTAACAACTTGTTCTGGCTCACTGGTTCTTTGTCTCACTAAAAACCTGTCCAGTGAGGTTTGTTTCAGGTTCCATTTTAACACTTGTCTAAAGTGAGACATTACACTGTCTTTGTACATGTTAGAGAGACAGACGGCCACTGCTTTTTCTGGATGGTATTTTTCAGCAAACTCCTGCACTTTACACCATTTAACACACATTTCCTTGACAAGCACAATGACCACATCATTCCTTCCTCCTCTTCCTCTGATGACAGCTCCTATGCTGCAATCTGTTGCTGCTCCTTCTGAAGGTCTACAAGTTCTTCTGTGGTGAGTTCAGTTCTACGTTCCTCTACCAACTCCTCCACATCATCTTCAGTCACCTCTAGGTCCAAGGTCTTCCCCAGGGACACAATATCTCCTCCACATCATCTTCAGTCACCTCTAGGTCCAAGGTCTTCCCCAGGCACACAATATCTCCTCCACATCATCTTCAGTCACCTCTAGGTCCAAGGTCTTCCCCAGGGACACAATATCTCCTCTACATCATCTTCAGTCACCTCTAGGTCCAAGGTCTTCCCCAGGGACACAATATCTCTTCCACATCATCTTCAGTCACCTCTAGGTCCAAGGTCTTCCCCAGGCACACAATATCTCTTCCACATCATCTTCAGTCACCTCTAGGTCCAAGGTCTTCCCCAGGCACACAATATCTCTTCCACATCATCTTCAGTCACCTCTAGGTCCAAGGTCTTCCCCAGGCACACATATATCTCCTCCACATCATCTTCAGTCACCTCTAGGTCCAAGGTCTTCCCCAGGCACACAATATCTCCTCCACATCATCTTCAGTCACCTCTAGGTCCAAGGTCTTCCCCAGGCACACAATATCTCCTCCACATCATCTTCAGTCACCTCTAGGTCCAAGGTCTTCCCCAGGCACACAATATCTCCTCCACATCATCTTCAGTCACCTCTAGGTCCAAGGTCTTCCCCAGGGACACAATATCTCTTCCACATCATCTTCAGTCACCTCTAGGTCCAAGGTCTTCCCCAGGGACACAATATCTCCTCCACATCATCTTCAGTCGCCTCTAGGTCCAAGGTCTTCCCCAGGGACACAATATCTCTTCCACATCATCTTCAGTCACCTCTAGGTCCAAGGTCTTCCCCAGGCACACAATATCTCCTCCACATCATCTTCAGTCACTTCTAGGTCCAAGGTCTTCCCCAGGCACACAATATCTCCTCCACATCATCTTCAGTCACCTCTAGGTCCAAGGTCTTCCCCAGGGACACAATATCTCTTCCACATCATCTTCAGTCACCTCTAGGTCCAAGGTCTTCCCCAGGGACACAATATCTCCTCCACATCATCTTCAGTCGCCTCTAGGTCCAAGGTCTTCCCCAGGGACACAATATCTCTTCCACATCATCTTCAGTCACCTCTAGGTCCAAGGTCTTCCCCAGGCACACAATATCTCCTCCACATCATCTTCAGTCACTTCTAGGTCCAAGGTCTTCCCCAGGCACACAATATCTCCTCCACATCATCAGTCACCTCTAGGTCCAAGGTCTTCCCCAGGGACACAATATCTCTTCCACATCATCTTCAGTCACCTCTAGGTCCAAGGTCTTCCCCAGGCACACAATATCTCTTCCACATCATCTTCAGTCACCTCTAGGTCCAAGGTCTTCCCCAGGCACACAATATCTTCTACTGGCTCGGGTTCATCTACAAAGCCTTCAAAGTCTCTGGCTGCCACAAAGTCAGGCCACAATTTCTTCCATGTTAATTGCATGGTCCTGGAAGACACATTTCCCCAGGCTTTGTCTATAAGCCTCAAACAAGTGAATGTATTGAAATATTCCTTCCAGAACATCCTTAGGGTTAAATTTGTTTCTGAAGTGACTTCAAAGCAACTTCCATAAAGTGCTTTGGTGTAGAGTTTCTTGAAGTTAAGAATGATCTGCTGGTCCATGAGCTGGATGAGAGGAGTGGTGTTAGGAGGCATGAACTTTATGGTTATAAAACTGAACTTCTCCAGCAAATTGTTTTCCAAACTTGGAGGTTGAGCAGGAACATTATCCATCAGTAAAAGGGCCCTGAGTAGCAATTGTTTTTTAATGAGGTAATTTTTGACAGTGGAAGCAAAGACCTCATGAAGCCACTCAGTAAAAAATGTCTTGTTACTGAAGCTTTCATGTTGGCCCTCCACATTACAACCAGTTTTTCATAACATTGTTTTTCTTAAAAACTTATGGATTTTCAGACTGATAAACAAGTAAGGGCTTCAATTTCAAGTCATCACTTGCATTACTACACAGAAAGAGAGTGAGTCTGTCTTTCATTAGTTTGTGTCATAGCATTGACTTTTCCTCTTCAGTTATGTAGGTCCTCTTGGGCATTTTCTTCCAGAAGAGGTCTGTCTTGTCGCAGTTAAACACTTGTTGGGAGACAAACCTCTCAGTCTCTACGTACTCTTGGAATTCAGTAGCATACTTTTCATCAGTCATTTTGTCAACACTGGCAGCGTCCCCATGCCTAGCCACACTGTGAATGCCACTTCTTGTCTTAAAATTATCTAACCAACCCTTACTAACCTTGAGAGATCGAGTTTCAGCACTTGTTCCGAGTTTTTTCTCAAGAGGTCATCATGCAACTGCCTCGCTTTTTCCCAAATAATGGCCTCTGAAACACCATCACCGTATAACTGTTTTTCGTTTATCCTAATCAATAAGAGTTTCTCAACCTCCTCAATAATTTGATATCACTTTTGCACCTTTTGCAAGGTCAGCTGCTTTAATTTTTTCCCTTTGGCCCAGTATCATGCTAATGGTAGACTCTGATTTACCAAAAAGTTTTGCTATATCAGCCATGCAGAGTCGATCTTCTTCATACCTTATAATAACTTCTTTTTTAACCCGTAAACGGTCCAAACGTACATATACACGTTTTTTCAACATTTGAAAGTATGTAAAAAAAGTAGATCTTTTTGTTTTTTTACATTTGAAAATGTGTAAAAAAACTTTGATCTACTTTTTTTTTTGTTATACAGTGGTCCCCTGGTTTACGATCAGCTCCCAATGCGACCAATTATGTAAGTGTATTTATGTAAGTGCGTTTTTACGTGTATGTTTGGGGGTCTGAAATGGACTAATCTACTTCACAATATTCCTTATGGGAACAAATTCGATCAGTACTGGCACCTGAACATACTTCTGGGATGAAATAATATCGTAAACCGGGGTCCACTGTATTTGAAAATATGTATAAAAAACTTAGATCTACTTTTGTAGCACTACGCATGTGAACGTAGATCTGCTTGGACCGTTTACGGGTTAAACTCAACAGCGCTTTTTGCAACTTTTCTTCTTGCTTTTATCTCTCTGTCCTTCTTTGGACCCATGATGACTTTTCTCACAATAAAAAAAATTACACCAAAACTGCAAAATAACAAAAAAAAAGTTAACAAGATATATAGCAAAACTCAAGAGATGTTTACAGCACGTTAAGCTTACTTTCTGCTTAACCCGTAAACGGTCCAAGCAGATCTGCGTTCACATGTGTAGTGCTACAAAAGTAGATCTACGTTTTTTACATACTTTCAAATGTTGAAAAGACGTATATGTACGTTTGGACCGTTTACGGGTTAATGAGTTGTTTCTATGAGGTCGCCTGGCTAAATTGGTGGCGCACTTAGTTCTCTCTCTGAGGGTCCGGGTTCAATCCTGGGCACGGGTGAGACTTGCTGTCACTTCACCTAGCAGTGTGTACCTGGGTGTTAGTCACCTTACACCTGCTGTCAGTCACCTTACACCTGCTGTCACTGTTCACCTAGCAGTAAGTAGATACCTGGGTGTTAGTTGACTGGTATGGGTGGCATCCTGGGGGAGAGAGATTAAAGACCCACAATGGAAATAAGACTTGACAGTTCCCCCATAACACTGACTTCATTGGGTTATACCCTGTGGCCCGGGCCATGACCCGGCCTTGTGGTGGATCAGGACCTGATCAACTAGGCTGTTACTGCTGGCCACACACAAATCCTAAGTTACTGACCCTCTGGATTAAAAATCCCATGAAAACCTTATCTTGTCTTCTTCAGACAGTATCTTGGCTACTTTATAAGATAGTCACTATCTTGGTCACTTTATAATAGAAGTCACTACGTATCTTGGTCATTTTATAAGAGAAGTCACTATCTTGGTCATTTTATAAGAGAACAGTCATTATCTTGGTCACTTTATTAGAGTCACTGTCTTTGTCACTTTATAAGACAGTCACTATCTTCTAAAGATCGTCGATACTGTATGATTTTATTTTGTAAATATTATTAACCCTTTCAGGGTACGCGCTGTAGATCTACGGCTTTACGTTCAGGGTCCAAACCGTAGATCTACGCCATGAGCTCAGCTCACTCTGATAAGCTGTGAGCGGTAAATTTGGTCCTAGATATGAGAGAATACATCTATGTGGTATGTGTGCACCACATAAATCCTGCAACACACAGTGCATAATGAGAGAAAAAAACTGAGACCTTAATTTTTGATTAAAACAGCGAATTTGCAGTGTTTTTCGTATCTTTTTTATAGCTGTATTTGCGATTTCTTGGTCTCATTTGATAGAAGGGAAGACATATTACAGAAATAGAGATGATTTTGATTGGTTTTCGTACTGGAAATGGCTTGAAACTGAGCTCAAAGTAGCGGAAATGTTAAATTTTTGCCGATGTTCAAGAGTAAACAAATGACCTCACGTCTAATACCTGCCAGCTGGTGGGTCTAATACATGTTCACAAATGTGGTGATATTATTTATACAATTATTACAATATTGCATAACAGTAAATCTTCTATTTTTTGGTTTGAATAAAAATTCATTATGTGAATTAAAAATCAAAATGGAATTCATTAGTAAAGCCTCAAAACATAACTAATGAACAGAGGAAATGTTAGTTTAGTGGCTGGAATGTCTGCATTGTTTATTCTGGACCCTGTTTTGAAACTGGAATATTCTGAACTTTGCATTAAATTGGCCAAATTACCAAATTCCGATCACTTGATTTTGTAGTTGAAACAGCTGATTTGCTAATTTCTTGTGCTCAGACGATAGAATAGTGAAATAGCTAAGAATTTGGTCGACTGGAATAATGTAATTGGCCTAAAATGGGAGCCAGAGTTGGCAAAATCGCCTATGCGTAAATATCGCCGACACATCAAAATTCGCAAGAGATAATTTCATAATTTTTCCATCAAATTTCGTACGTTTTGTTTTATTACCTTCAGAAAAAGATTCTCTACCATTTCATAAGAAAAAATAAAATTATTTTTTGAAAATTCTTGGACCCTGGCACACACTTTGAAATTTGGCCTCTGGACCCTGGAAGGGTTAAAAAAAATTGATTCAAAATAGGCGAACACGTGGAAAGGCTCTGCAGTTTTGGATGTTGTTCAGTTTTGAATGCTATTTAATTTTGGATGCATGTTGTCAGTTACATTCGCAAAAAATCACACTGGAGAAGTTATATAAGAAAGCTTACTATGTAATAACTTTAATAATTACACTCTTATACAGAAAACCCTGTACAGTGGAACCTTGTTTTTTGTATACCCTAGTCTGTATGTAAAACTATAGTGATTGGTCTATAAAATGTATTTTTTATTAATATTTTTGGGTGTCTGGAGCGAATTAATTGGATTTATGTTATTTCCTGTAGGAAATATTAACAAAAAATATATTTTATAGAGATTAACTATACACAAATAACCCGCACATAGAAGAGAGGAGCTTACGATGACATTTCGGTCAGACTTGGACCATTTACAAAGTCACACTGTGACTTTGTCAATAGTCCAAGTCAGACCGAAACGTCATCGTAAGGTCCTCTCTACGTGCGGGTTATTTGTGTATTGTTCCAGTCATGGTATTGTGCCTTTTTTGTTATTTAGAATAACTATAGTTTTGCATACAGACTAGGGCATACGAACACCGAGGTTTCACTAATTGAAGGGAAGTGGGTGGCTGGTAATAGCAGTTGTGATGGATAGAGAAGAGGTTATTTTGCCAGCATTGTAACAATAATGGACACTTGTGGGACCAGTTGATTTCATTTGTTTCCAGATTTATTAACTTAGTGGATTTTGTTGTATATTTCCAAAATCTGTTATACAAAGGCCTGGTCACAGACCAGGCCGCGGGGGCGTTGACCCCCGGAACTCTCTCCAGGTAAACTCCAGGTAATACAATGGCTGTCTCCCACACAGGCAGGTGACTCAAAAAAGAAGAAACACTTTCATCATCATTCACTCCATCACTGTCTTGCTAGAGGTGTACTCACCTATTTGTGGTTGCAAGGGTTGAGTCATAGCTGATCACTACTAGGTCTCTCTCTCTGCTCCATGAGCTTTATCATACCTCATCTTAAAACTATGTATGGTTCCTGCCTCCACTACATCACTTTCCAGACTATTCCACTTCCTGACAACTCTATGACTGAAGAAATACTTCCTAACATCCATTTAACTCATCAGAATCTTCAATTTCCAATTGTGACCCCTTGTTTCTGTACCCCATCTCTGGAACATCCTATCTCTGTCCACCTTGTCAATTCCTTGCAGTATTTTATATGTTGTTATCATGTCTCACCTAACCCTCCTGTCATCCAGTGTTGTCAGGCTGATTTCCCTTAACCTTTCTTCGTAGGATATTTCCTTAGCTCTGGGACTAGTCTTGTTAGCAAATCTTTGCACTTTCTCTAATTTCTTGACATGCTTGACCAGGTGTGGGTTCCAAATTGGTGCTGCATACTCCAATATGGGCTTGACATACACGGTGTACAGAGTCTTGAATGATTCCTTGCTGAGGTATCAACCAGATAACTGCTGCAGCCCATATGCTGCAGCAGTTATCTGGTTGATGTGCGCCTCAGGAGATATGCTCGGTATTATACTTACCCCAAGATCCTTTTCCTTGAGTGAGGTTTGCAGTCTGTGGCCACCTAGCCTATACAGTGGACCCCCGCATAACGATTACCTCCGAATGCGACCAATTATGTAAGTGCGTTTGTACGTGTATGTTTGGGGGTCTGAAATGGACTAATCTACTTCACAATATTTCTTATGGGAACAAATTCGGTCAGTACTGGCACCTGAACATACTTCTGGAGTGAAAAAATATCGTTAACCGGGGATCCACTGTACTCTGTCTGTGGTCTTCTTTGCGAGGTTAAATTTGAGGAGCCAGTTGCTGGACCAGGCTTGCAGCCTGTCCAGGTCCCTTTGTAGTGTGTTGATACTACAGTCCAAAAACTGCAACTTGTCTCCATACCTCCTTCAGAGTGCAGGCACTGTATTTCCCACCTCCATGACTCAGGTCTGGCTCACCGGTTTCCCTGAATCCCTTCATAAATGTTACCTTACTCACACTCCAACAGCACATCAAGTCATAAAACCCACTTGTCTCTACTGACTCCTGTCTAACATGCTCACACAAGCTTGCTGGAAGTCTAAGCCCCTCATGCACAAAACATCTCTTGGTATTTTTAATGTGGGTAACATGAATTATTCAATATTGTTATTTTTCTATTAAATTTTCACATTTTTCTGTTTACTCTTCAGTATCCTAAGGGAGTCATGCCTGACTACGTGGAGACAAACTTTGATGAAAGGAGTGGGATAGTGCCATGCACAGTGCCATGGGGCAGGTGGTGGCAGACAGTCGCTGAAGTCCACATAGAGGTTGATGTACCCGAGGGCACCAAGTCCAAGTTGATACAGGTCGACGTCAAGCCATCCCACATCAAGGTGGTACTGCTGGACAAAGTGATTTTTGAGGTTAGTGTATTTTGTTAAGTGGATGTTGGCAGTGTTTTTAAGGTTACAAATACAAATTTTTGTGTCTTTATATGGTACAAAATAATCGAGTTTAGTTGTAATAAAGTATTATAAGGTACAAAAAAGTCACCAATATACAACAACAATAATAATAATAATTATAATACGTATTTGTTTATTACTTATTCAGTAACAGTAGTTAATTAGGATGGATGGATAATGAGATGGATAATGAGAACCTTCAAAACTAGGGATGCCAAACCCATGATGACACTCTTCAGGTCACTTGTTCTATCTAGGCTGGAATATTGCTGCACACTAACAGCACCTTTCAAGGCAGGTGAAATTGCTGACCTAGAAAATGTACAGAGAACCTTCACGGCGCGCATAACAGAGATAAAACACCTCAATTACTAGGAGCGCTTGAGGTTCCTGAACCTGTACTCCCTGGAATGCAGGCGGGAGAGATACATGATTATATACACCTGGAAAATCCTAGAGGGACTAGTACCGAACTTGCACACGAAAATCACTCACTACGAAAGCAAAAGACTTGGCAGACGATGCAACATCCCCCCAATGAAAAGCAGGGGTGTCACTAGCACGTTAAGAGACCATACAATAAGTGTCAGGGGCCTGAGACTGTTCAACTGCCTCCCAGCATACATAAGGGGGATTACCAACAGACCCCTGGCAGTCTTCAAGCTGGCACTGGACAAGCACCTAAAGTCGGTTCCTGACCAGCCGGGCTGTGGCTCGTACGTTGGTTTGCGTGCAGCCAGCAGTAACAGCCTGGTTGATCAGGCTCTGATCCACCAGGAGGCCTGGTCACAGACTGGGTCACGGGGGCGTTGACCCCCAGAACTCTCTCCAGGTAAACTCCAGGTATGGAGAGGGAGCATGGACACGGGGGTTGTCCCACAGTTACTAAAAACAACAGACATAGCCCCACTCCACAAAGGGGGCAGTAAAGCAATAGCAAAGAACTACAGACCGATAGCACTAACATCCTATATCATAAAAATCTTTGAAAGGGTCCTAAGAAGCAAGATCTCCACCCATCTAGAAACCCATCAATTACACAACCCAGGGCAACATGGGTTTAGAGCAGGTCGCTCCTGTCTGTCTCAACTATTGGATCACTACGACAAGGTCCTAGATGCACTAGAAGACAAAAAGATTGCAGATGTAATATATACAGACTTTGCAAAAGCCTTCGACAAGTGTGACCATGGCGTAATAGCGCACAAAATGCGTGCTAAAGGAATAACAGGAAAAGTTGGTAGATGGATCTATAATTTCCTCACAAACAGAACACAAAGAGTAGTAGTTAACAGAGTAAAGTCCGAGGCCACTACGGTGAAAAGCTCTGTTCCACAAGGCACAGTACTCGCTCCCATCTTGTTCCTCATCCTCATATCTGACATAGACAAGGATGTCAGCCATAGCACCGTGTCTTCCTTTGCAGATGACACCCGAATCTACATGACAGTGTCTTCCATTGCAGACACTGCAAGGCTCGAGGCGGACATCAACCAAATCTTTCAGTGGGCTGCAGAAAACAATATGAAGTTCAACGATGAGAAATTTCAATTACTCAGATATGGTAAACACGAGGAAATTAAATCTTCATCAGAGTACAAAACAAATTCTGGCCACAAAATAGAGCGAAACACCAACGTCAAAGACCTGGGAGTGATCATGTCGGAGGATCTCACCTTCAAGGACCATAACATTGTATCAATCGCATCTGCTAGAAAAATGACAGGATGGATAATGAGAACCTTCAAAACTAGGGATGCTAAGCCCATGATGACACTCTTCAGGTCACTTGTTCTATCTAGGCTGGAATATTGCTGCACACTAACAGCACCTTTCAAGGCAGGTGAAATTGCTGACCTAGAAAATGTACAGAGAACCTTCATGGCGCGCATAACGGAGATAAAACACCTCAATTACTGGGAGCGCTTGAAAGTTCCTGAACCTGTATTCCCTGGAACGCAGGCGGGAGAGATACATGATTATATACACCTGGAAAATCCTAGAGGGACTAGTACCGAACTTGCACACGAAAATCACTCGCAACGAAAGCAAAAGACTCGGCAGACGATGCAACATCCCCCCAATGAAAAGCAGGGGTGTCACTAGCACGTTAAGAGACCATACAATAAGTGTCAGGGGCCCGAGACTGTTCAACTGCCTCCCAGCATACATAAGGGGGATTACCAACAGACCCCTGGCAGTCTTCAAGCTGGCACTGGACAAGCACCTAAAGTCGGTTCCTGACCAGCCGGGCTGTGGCTCGTACGTTGGTTTGCGTGCAGCCAGCAGTAACAGCCTGGTTGATCAGGCTCTGATCCACCAGGAGCCCTGGTCACAGACCGGGCCGCGGGGGCGTTGACCCCCGGAACTCTCTCCAGGTAAACTCCAGGTATTCGACTTACATTATTTTTGACTTATGATGGGTTTGTCTGAACATAATACATGTACAGTGAAACCCCGGGTTTCAGCCGTAATCCGTTCCAGGAGCTAGGCCTGAACGCGAAATGGCCGAAAGGCAAAATAATGTAAATAAAATGTAAATGTAAAATGTAAACTGTAAATAAAATTAATTCATTCCAGACCCACAAAAATATTCACAAAAAGTATATTTTTTAAAAAATAACTATAGTTTTACATACACTCAACACAGATAAATACACCTACCATCCGACTTACGACCTGCTCGACTTACGACCTGCTCGACTTACGACCTGCTCGACTTACGACCTGCTCGACTTACGACCTGCTCGACTTATGACCTGCTCGACTTACGACCTGCTCGACTTACGACCTGCTCGACTTACGACCTGCTCGACTTACGACCTGCTCGACTTACGACCTGCTCGACTTACGACCTGCTCGACTTACTACCTGCTCGACTTACGACCTGCTCGACTTATGACCACTCGACTTACGACCTGCTTGACTTATGACCTGCTCGACTTACGACCTGCTCGACTTACGACCTGGTCGACTTACGACCACTCGACTTATGACCTGCTCGACTTATGACCACTCGACTTACGACCTGCTCGACTTACGACCTGCTCGACTTACGACCTGCTCGACTTACGACCACTCGACTTACGACCTGCTCGACTTACGACCACTCGACTTACGACCTGCTCGACTTATGACCTGCTCGACTTATGACCTGCTCGACTTATGACCTGCTCGACTTACGACCACTCGACTTACAACCTGCTTGACTTACGACCTGCTCGACTTACGACCACTCGACTTACGACCTGCTCGACTTACGACCACTTGACTTATGACCTGCTCGACTTACGACCTGCTCGACTTACGACCTGCTCGACTTACGACCTGCTCGACTTATGACCTGCTCGACTTATGACCTGCTCGACTTACGACCTGCTCGACTTACGACCTGCTCGACTTACTACCTGCTTGACTTACGACTGTGTTTTTTTTGCCAAATTTCTGGGAAATAAACAACTATTTGTGTTGTACACAGTGTTTATCCTAAACCTTACAGTATAAAATACAGTACTAACAGCATAAAAAGTAAAGTAAAACATGAAATACCAAAATAAAACAATAAAATAAAATCATTACAAAAATGTTTTGTTGATATTCAGTAGTAAAGTTCGACTTACGACCATTTCAACTTATGACCGGTTTCTCGGAACTGAACTCGGTCGTAAGTCGGATGGTAGGTGTATATTATACAATACACAAATTACAATTTAAATAAATGTTTAAAATAACATTTACTTACCTTTATTGAAGAGACTTTCTAGCATTTGGAAGGTAACGGGAGGAGGAGAGAGGGAGGACTTATTGTTTGGAAGGTGAATCCCCTTCCATGAAGACTTAAGGTAACAAGTCCTTATCTTGGGTTACTTCCCGTCTTTGTCTTGTGACCCTTAAACTGTCCAAACAGATCTATGTTTACATTTGTAGTGCTCCAAAAGTAGATCTACGTTTTTTTACATACTTTCAAATGTTGAAAAAAAGTAGATGTACGTTTGGACAGTTTAAGGGTTAATGCCACTAGGACCAGCTTGAGAGTCACTGGACCTATGTTGCACAAAATAACTGTCAAGAGAGCTCTGTTTCTGGCGTCTCTAAGATTTGCCTGAAGTAGGACAAGGTTTTGTCACTGAACATGTTGCAGATATGGCTTGTTGCAGCTTCGTCAGGGTGGTAATTTTCAACAAAAGTTTGCAACTCATTCCACTTTGCACACTTTTCACAGTCACAATTAACCCTTTGAGTGTTTTCGACGTATAAATACGTCTTACGAGCCAATGTTTCTGACGTATATATACTCAATAATTCTAGCGGCTTCAAATCAAGCGGGAGAAGGCTGGTAGGCCCACATGTGAGAGAATGGGTCTGTGTGGTCAGTGTGCACCACATAAAAAAAATCCTGCAGCACACATTGCGTAATGAGAAAAAAAAACTCTGATCGTTTTTTTGGAATAAAACGCCGACTTTGAGGTGTATTTTTGTATAGTATTTATCGTTGTATTCACGTTTTCATGGTCTTAGGTGATAAAATGGAAAACATATTACAGAAATAGAGATGATTTTCATTACTTTGACGATGAAAACGACCTTGAAACTGAGCTCAAAGTAGCGGAAATGTTCGATTTTTACCAATGTTCAGGAGTAAATAAATCACACCACACGTCCAATACACGTCAACTGGGAAGTCTAATATTCTTTCACAAGTGCACTGATATTATTTATACCATTTTTACAATAATGCAGTAGTCTGCATAACAGTAAATTTTGTATTTTTTTGTTTGAGTAAAAAATCAAAATAGAAAGCAATGGTAATATAAGAGGGGCCTAGAGATGTGACTAATGAACAGAGCATATGTTATTTTAGTGTCACGAATGTCTACCTTGTTTTTTCTGGACCCTATTTTGAAATTGGCATCTTTTTTAGTTTGCGTGAAATTGGCCAAATTGCCAATTTCTGACCA